CAATTACAACATGAGAACTTAGTTAAACAACAGCAATCAACTAAACTACATTATGAATCAAATGACTAGAAGATAAACATCATGGAAGAGGCACAGCTGTGGCACAAATAGAACTACTACCAAAATTTTAACACTGCCTTTATTCCATCTTCAAATTGAAGTTATATCATGAAGGATTCAGAATTTGTACCTGGAGATTAAAGGAAAAGAGGTGAAAAAATAGTAACAGCAACAGAACAACAGCTTCAGCAACAGGAACCAACCAGTTTCAACACTTAAAACCCAGGAAATTAACTCAGCAAAACCAGTGAAAGATTAACCCTCAACCAGCTTGAATCAAAAACTTTATAACCAAACATCAATCCATTTTGAATATCAGAATAGGAACTTTTATTTTTTAGAAAAAAATCACTAAGGTTCAATCGAACAGTAGAATTTTTTGCCCTTTTGTATTTTCTGGAATTCTATCTCTAATTCTCTGCCTTGAAAGGCAAGAAAACGTGCCTTTATTGCAAGGGAAGTAGGGCAGCCTAGATAATTCAGCTTTTCAATTAGGCCCCTTTTCAATTTTTTATTTTAGCTTAACTACCCTTAGTTAAAAATCTGAAATTCAACTTAAACCCCCCACCCAAGCTTCCTAGAAGCTTCCTAGTTAGTTACAAAGATATTCCATAATTGAATTACCCAAATTACCCTTCAATGACCCTATTTTTACCTTGAAATTCATGGATCAAGCTGATCCAGTAACTAAAACAGTCCAAACATGGGTCAAAATGATCCGACTCAAAAGAAAACAGCCTAATTCATCAAGACCTGGGCTAATTCTTTTCTTTGGGCCCAAGTCTGATTCCACAATTCAGAAAGATGATGAGGCAGAAAAGCCTATTCAAATCCCACAAAACTATGAACCAAAGATTCAATTGCGGCTCAAAACTAAAACTAAAAGAATAAAGAAATTAAGCTAATCTAATGAAATCAAATAAACTAAAGAGAAAAAGCAATTAACATTTAACTAAGTTAACAGAAACACATGCAAAAACAAATTAAGAAAATAGAATAACAAAGAAAGAAGGATATAAGAAGATAAGAATAATGAAAAAGAGAAAATACCGGAATGATTATCAAAACTAGGCGAACCACAGTTTGAACCAAACCTCCATGAAATCTTCGATTTTTTGGCCGAGATGGACCTTAATCTTGTGTTTTCATGTGAAAACACACGACTAAGGTCCAGTACGGTCAAAATCCTCACAGGCCCGTTGAATTTTGAGTTTGTGGAGTTAGAGCTCAGGTCTCTGATTCAATATTCGAGCAGTTTGAGGGGGGGTTCAAGGGAAAGGGAGTAAAGATTGGTGAAGAGGAGGTGATGGGGGTTCGATGGTGTTAATTTGGGGAAGTTTGGTGGTGGCGCCGCCATCGGAGAAACTGTGGCGGCGCTAGGATTCATAGCTTTGAACAAATGTTCGAGCAGTTCTGGGTAGTTTTGGGAGAAACGGAGGGGGGATCTGGGGTGAGGAGGTGGAGGAGAAGCGACGGTGTTAATTTCATGGTGATTGGACGCCGGCCGCCGCCGTAGGCGATTTTCGGCAGGCGGTGGTTCAGGGCGGTGTTCTGAGAGACGGTGATGGGGGTTCTGAGAGAGGGTGTGGGGGCATTTGGACACTTATATATTTAGTGATCCCAACTTCCCAGCCGTTGGATGAGAAAACCTCGACGGTTGGGATCATTCAGGGGCCAAACAGGGTCGTTTCGATGGAGGAGGTTCTGGACCGGTTTAGGAATGGGTTCTGGGCTGGGTCAACCAGGTATTTGGACGGGTTTAAGGGCAAATTGATTTGGTCTTGGGCAAATTGATGGGGCTTGGCCCAAAATCCTGATCCCTCTCATTCTTTTCTTTTTCTTTTATTTCAAACTCTTTTCTAATTCCTTTTTTTTTCAAAATTAAAAATAAAATCGTAAGTTAAATCACAAGCCAAATTAACCTAAAAAAACTAGTTAATTCTAAATTATCATTATTAACTGAACCAAATTAAAGGACAAACTACCCAAAATTCAAAATTAAAGCTAAAAAATGTAAAATAAACTATTTTGTGATTTTCATTTTTTTTAATTACTAATTAATTTCTAAAAATGCAAAGTTAAGTCCTAAATGCACATGCAACCTATTTTTTGTATTTTTCATTAATTGAATAAAATAAACGTGCACAGACAAATGCAAACAATTGACAGAAAAATGCCACAAATATCCACAAAATTGCAAACAATGGAAAAATTATTTTATTTTAAATTTGTGGGAGTAATTCATATAGGGCAAAAATCACGTGCTCACATGAATGACATGTTGGGGTTCCTCAGGTTGATTCATTCTGCCTGCATCCCTCGCCCGGAAGTGATTCTTAGCCCGATCACTTAGGAATTGTCGAAGGTGGCCCTCATTGAATAACCTGGCCACTTCCTCCCTTAGCCGCCTGCAATCTTCCGTTCTATGACCATGCGTGCCATGATACTTGCATACCAAATTCGGATTCCTTTGGGAGGGATCGATCTGCATTGGCCTGTGCCACTTAGTATCTTTGATTCTCCCAATAGCTGAGACGATCCCTGATGCATCTATGCTAAACTTGTACTATGATAATCGGGGGACCTCGTGCTTATCGAACCCGTTTTTCTTATGAGTCCCCGAGAACCTTGACCTTGGTTACCTCTTCGATCGCTCCGAGAGATGTTGTGGCTCGGGCCGTTGTTTCTTCGATCTGCATATGGTTGATACCTTTCTTTGTTGAATCTTGATCCCCGATCTGTGTCCCTCGGGGGCTTGGCTGCAAATCTATTAGGATGATCTGAGCCCGAGGGGGCTCCCAACTGGTCGTCCTCGACTCTAATTTTTGACTGATACCGATTTTGTACATCCGACCATGTTACAACTGGATATTCGATCAAGTTCTGCTTTAGCTGCCGAGATGCTATCGAACTTCTTTCATTCAAACCTTGCATAAAGGCCTGTACCGCCCAGTCATCGGAGACCGGTGGTAAGTTCATCCTTTCCATCTAAAATCTGGACACAAACTCCCTTAGCATCTCGTCATCCCTTTGTCTTATTTTGAAGACGTCCGATTTTCTTGTGGCCACCTTTATGGCCCTGGCGTGTGCTTTCACGAAGGCATCCGCCAACATAGCAAATGAGTAAATGGAGTTAGGAGCTAAGTTGTGATACCAGATCATAGCTCCTTTTGATAATGTTTCCCCAAACTTTTTCAATAATACTGACTCGATTTCATCATCATTCAAGTCATTTCCTTTGATTCCACAGGTGTATGAAGTAATGTGTTCATTAGGGTCAGTTATTCCATTATATTTCGGTATATCGGGCATGCGAAACTTCTTGGGAATGGGCATTAGAGCCGCACTTGGGGGGAAAGGTTTTTGTATGAACTTTTTTGAATCCAGTCCTTTCAGAATCGGAGGTGCTCCTGGTATCTGGTCGACTCTGGAGTCGTATGTCTCCACCTTTTTGTCATTTTCTTCAATTTTCTTTTCTCCGAACTTGATTCTTTTGGTCAGTTCTTCGAGTATTTTCATGATAACGGGGTCAGTCCCCGAGCCACTTTCATCGGGCCTTTCAGGTGCGGGCTTTGTATGCTGGGAGTCCACTGATTCGGCGGTGTTAGGAGTTCTGTTCTGACTTTGGAGTTGAGCGATGGCGACTTGCTGAGCTTGCAACATTTCGAATATCACTTGGAGGCTGACTCCTCCTTCTTCTAGTCCTCGTGTTTCCTAGCCTCCAGCTCAGGCTTCCCCGTGTGCATTCCTTACGGGGTTTGTGCCGCGTTCGTGTTTAGAGCGTTGTGCGAACTGATATCAACTGGCTCCATGTTTGGCACTCCCTCAGGGTTTATGGGTGGTACACCAAGCCCTATAACGATGTTTTCCCCGAGTCCCTCACTGTCATGAGCAGGTGCGTTTTGTGTGCTAGACATACTTTAGCCTGAAATCAAACAATCTTTGACAAGAAAAAGTGTGAAGAATAACGTATGTTATCAGAAAACTAGCACTAAAATAATCACTATTATCTTTAGCCCCACGGTGGGCGCCAAACTATTTACCTCGAAAAATGTAAGTAACAATTAAAGATAATTTGTGATTTTAAAGATATGTGATATATTCTAATACTAGTGATTATACAAGTAATATTAAGCTTAAGTAAGAAGAAAAGTTGAACCGAAATTAATGTAGCTAGAGCAATAGGGGCCTCGAGCCAGGTTATCCCAGGGACCTCGAGGTCAGCTTAGAACAATAAAGTATGAACAATAAAGTAAAGAGCTAAAGAATAATTGTTGAGCACGTTAAACGAGAAAGACAGAGCTGAATGTTCTATTGCAGAGAATAATATCAGATGATCTTACAAAATGATTGGGGTCCCCTTTATATAGGAGGAGGAAACCCCAATATAGTACATTCCTAATTGTAGTAAAGAATTCTATTGGTACATGTGTATAACAGCCTAGTACGGGCCTGTACCATTTCGTACAAATCTTATCTCTTAATTTGTCCCCTGGTCCACTTGTTCTTGAGAAATTCCCGCTCTTTCTTGATTGACTTCGAGAATGTGCTGCCCTCGATGCAGGTCGTGCCAGGACCTCAATCGGCTTCCTCGAGGTATGTGTCCCTCGACCGGATCTGACTTCCATTTTGAGTTGCCCGGACTCGAACTCATAAACCAATTTAAGACCTCGAAATTGGACTCCCTAATTTTGACCGTATACAATGAGCAACTAAATTTACTTGTCTCTTTATCCAACTAAAGAAATTTTAGGATTTTGGGCTATAAATTTATTCAAAAGTTTTCGGTTTAAACTCTGGTTATAAAAATATCATGTTAATAAGTCATACGAATTCGAATTAGTGGAGCCTAACGTAGAATACCGAAGAGTGGGACCAACAAACGACCTCATATCTCCTTTTTTTTTTTTTTTCTCCCCACCCCACCCGACTCCAAACCTCATATATCTCCTACTTACCAAAGTCCTCCATTTCCAAATGTCAACACAACTTTGCACCAAAAAGCCAAAAAAAATCAGTGAGAAAATAACAATGGAAACTCGAATTGGCAATTCTCTTAGCCTCCTTCTGCAAGACCCTAATGACCTCAAAACTGACTTCAACTCCCTCTTCAACAATCTCAACACTTCCCTTTTATCTACCCCAATTACAACTTTACACCACAAGAATACCAAATCAAGAACCCATTTCTTCTGTCCCAAATTCAAGTTTTCCTCAACTTCTGTCTCAATTGAAGCACAAATCAAGAACCCCACTTCCAATTTTCTTAAACCTGCCAATAGGGACTCCCCAAAAGTTCAGGTTTTATTCAAGAATCTTTCTGTTGTTGAAAGAGCACTTATTGGTGCAGCTTCTGGAGGCATTGCTGGTGCATTTACATATGTGTGTCTTCATCCACTTGACACTATTAAAACTAAGCTCCAAACTAAAGGGGCATCTGAGATTTACAGTGGAACAATTGATGCATTTGTCAAGACTTTTCAAAGTAAGGGGATTCTTGGGTTTTACAGTGGTGTTTCTGCTGTAATTGTTGGTTCCACTGCTTCTTCTGCTGTGTATTTTGGGACTTGTGAGTTTGGTAAGTCAATCTTGTCTAAATTCCCACAATACCCTTCTGTGCTTATCCCACCAACAGCTGGTGCAATGGGGAATATAGTGTCATCTGCTATAATGGTACCAAAGGAATTGATTACTCAGAGAATGCAAGCTGGTGCTAAAGGGAGGTCTTGGCAGGTGTTAATGAGAATCTTGGAAAAAGATGGAATCTTGGGATTGTATTCTGGATATACTGTTACATTGTTGAGGAATTTGCCTGCTGGGGTCTTGAGTTATTCATCGTTCGAGTACTTGAAAGCTGCAGTATTGAGTAATACGAAAAGGGAACGTTTGGAGCCTTTTCAGAGTGTTTGTTGTGGGGCATTGGCTGGTGCAATATCAGCTTCAATAACAACACCTTTGGATGTGGTGAAAACTAGGTTGATGACTCAAGTTGTTCATTCTGAAGCTGCTAATAAGGCTGCTGCAGCAATGGTTACTGGCGTCTCGGCTACTGTTAAACAGATATTGAAAGAAGAAGGGTGGGTTGGTTTTACAAGGGGAATGGGTCCTAGAGTACTACATAGTGCTTGTTTCTCAGCTCTCGGCTACTTCGCGTTTGAGACAGCTAGGCTTACAATTCTGGATCAGTATCTGAAGCATAAGGAGCTTGAGAGTTTGGCTTCTGCAGATGCGGCACAAGCCGATTAGAGCGTATGACTATGGTTCTTTCTTAAATGCAGTTGCCAAAACCTTTGGTAAGTGCTCTTTTATCTTAAGATTAGTGTCTTCACTGGCTAAGAAGAATGTCAATGGATTCAGTTTGCTAATATTAGACCGATATGTATAGCTGCTTGCTTGCTTCTTGATGTTATCTTATTCTGGCATAGCTTAAATGATATGAAGTGCACTTAAGAAAATTTCTGGTCGGAAGCAGCAAACCGTTTAACTTTATTGGATCTTATACAGTCCATTTATTTCAAAAATCAACTGAGTAAAACCAAAGTAAGTGTTTGTCTTCTAATTATGCCTGTACTTAAGGTGATAGTCTAGCATCAGTTTACCCGACTGAAAATGTGAGAACATCAATGTACTGTTGAATAATTAATTTAAGTTTAATCAAGTTGTGCAAGAGAATGCCTTATATTTGAGCTACATATTTATAGATCGAAGGACAATGAAAATGAACCACCAAAAAAAGAAAAGGAACAGATAAGCAGTAGGGCAACACAATGAAAAGATGGACATGAACACTATTAGTTGGCTTGCGAGTTGACACAATGATTGTGTCACATACTTCTTCAGAGGAAATAAGGAAATTTCTCAATTGCCAGTTTTTCTCTTTTATTTCCTTGCTTTTCATTTCATCGAGTGGAATACAATGGAACATAAAGTAGCTCTGTTGTTGACACAGTGCCAGTGTATTTTGGTGAGCTGTTGTAGCCAAGTCTTGCCTAGGAAGATGCATGTCTTCCTGATTGACCTTTGAATCTGCAATGTGGTCAGCACATGCATTCATTTTGCATTAGCATATGGCTGAATTAGTAATATGCTTAAATCGTTTTTACATGCTTTATTGCCCTACTTTGCTATGTCTGATGCAGAGATTTGTTTTATCCCTCTGGCAAGTTGCCTGAATGACATTTGAAATTTGTCTTTTTCGGATCATCACCAGTCCCTTATAATTTGTTATTTAACTTTGCTATTAGGCTGTCTGTATGCGGGATTATCGTGCATACCGCATCAATGTGGAATGCATAAAATTTCCCCAAAGGCAGCAGATACTCAACATTCTTTTAAGCAACCATCTAATGAACTTGTAAAGCTGATCAATAGAAAAAAAGAATAGAATAGAACTACTATTGCCAGTCAAGAGAAATACCTTGGAATCCATTAAAGATGTTATTTAGGGGATTTTCCTCCACGCCATTTATTGCTGTCCAGAATTGCCTGCTCGCATATATTTTGGTATGTATTCACCTCAGAGTTGTACTTTTTATCCATTGTCAATTTCTAAGTCCCCATTAGTTCCATATGATAGTTGGAACGAGGATATCCCACCAGAGCAGTCCCTATGTGATCAATTTGATATACACAATTGCTAAAGCATCGACTGTCAACCTTTTTTGTTTCCCCTTTCTGCAGGACATGAATGTTTTAATCAACATTGTCCTGTTTCCAACTCTTATGCAAGTGAAGGTTGAAAGCGCCTGACCTTTAGGGATCAGAAAGCCTCTATCAGCATAGTCAAACTTATGATCAGTTATGATTCTTTTTCCAATAAAGTCTTATGATAAGTTGTGATAACTTGCTCTTAAAACAAAATAAGATTAATAGACTCTTGATATAAGTACCTTGATACTCCCTGACATCAAAAATATAATCAAATGGCTAGTTCCATGAAAAGAATACCCAAAAGAAACATAACCTTGCATTCACCAATCCTTAAACTATGTTTCGAGGGTTTTCGGATGTTGGTGATGTTGCCCTAATACCCTTTCCCATTTAACATGGTTCATTCTCTCTTTGACCTTCAATCTCCCCCTCCCTCCTCCCATGGAATTTTCTTTTTGGGCATCTTGACTATTACAAGTTAACTTGGGGAATACCAGGCTTTACATTTTAGTATGTGGCGGAGTGCATCTTTTTCTGGTTGGGCATACTACAGCTTCAAGTTAATGCTGTCTGTTGAATAAAATTTCATTCTACTGATTCAAAAAGAAAATAAAACGCGAAAGTGCATCTTTGCATAGTTGTTGTGGGTATTCTGCATGTATTGGTTGCATTCGTATTTTATTGCCTTTAACAGTTGGACTTGGCAATTCAATTTGGTTCCTGAGACTGTCAGGAAACGTTACAATGTGCACGATTCTCATATTTCTCAACTTTGGAGTGCATTTTCCAAAAAATGGGAATATTTCTTCAAATTGTTAAGGGATGAAGACTGAAAATCTTTGTTCATTGTAACAGGCCAGTAACGGCTTAACCAGTTAGGAGATATTGCATCCGCAACTTTTTGCTAAATGTTCCCACTGGCCCAGTTTTCATTTTGCATCATCAACTTATAGTACAGAACACAATGTTCCTTGACATTGGAGTTGATTGGGTCTCTGATGATTGATCTGATATCACCTATTGGTCCGACTATGATCTCTAAAAGGCAATGCACATCTGTGATGATTAACAAGTTCTGCAGTATGTTTTAGTTGGTTGGTTCTTGCACTCTCCTCTGCTGATTCATTGACCTTTTTCCCCCTTTTGTAGATGCATCGAACGAAGCACTGGCCCTGTTTGGCAATTGGCACTTCTATCTTCAGCTACCCATGCCTGTCAATTCTAATCTCCTTGTCGGCAGCAAGAATCCTACCTTGTAATTTTTGTAACTAGTTCAGAGGCTAAGCTATTTTAAGTCGATGAGTAGGATACCATAAATAAGTTTTTCCTTCTAGGTATGGGCTAATAGTTGTGCTCCTCAGACTACAAGGGATGGTTTTATCAGCTAGTTTCTTGTATGAATTCAACAATGATTTTCTTGGAGTGAGTCTCTACCATTTGTTTTTGGCTTCAGCAATGCATGTATTGCAGGTTCTTGATCCGAACATGGGGAAAGTTCTTTCTGATTTCAGATAAAACTATTGTGTTGGATTAGAATGTCTCCTTCGTATTTGGTAGGATGTACTAGGGGAAAATAATATACGCCTGTATGTATTAGCTTTGGTATTAGTAATCCCTTGTTTGGTATTAGAACGATCCCATGCAGTATAGTCTAAGCTCAAAGGTGGTTCTATAAAATAATAAAAGAAAGAACAAAAAGGAAAAAGATATGCAAGATATTAGAAGATGCTCTGATTATAATGTAAAAATAGCACGGTCTAGCCAGTTTTCGGACTGGTCATTCAGAAATAGCCAGCGTTTACCAAGTCAATGAAAAATAGCCACTATTTTACTGCAACAGAGACCAGTCTAGCATAATATACTGGAGTTCGGTGCACCTGTGTATGAACTTCCAGCATATTATGCTGGAACTCCAACACACGAAAAGTTCCAGCATAAAATACTGGAGATTCGAGCACTTGTGTATGAACTTACAGCATATTATACAGGACCGGTATACTTTGCTGGAACTCCAGTATATTATGCTGGAGTTCTAGTGTACTTATGTTGGAACTCCATCATATTATGCTGGAATTCCAGCATACTTATCCTGGAACTCCAGTATAATATGCTGGAGTTCAAGTATACTTATGTTGGAACTCCAGCATAATATACTGGCGTATTTTCCGGGTTTTGAACTGTATTTTCGCTCAGATTTATCTTTACATGAAAAATGGCTAGATTCCGATTACTTTTGAAATTGGGCTATTTTTGAACGACCACTTATAAATCTGGCTATTTTTGAATTTCTCCCGATTATAATGGCCTAATGATAAAGGTTAAACGCTTATTGAATTTTACACCGTTAGCACAAGATTTAACAAAGGACATGTCGAAAGAAAATTAAACGAGAATGAAGAAAGATAAAGGAATATGGTGAATTCAGAGAAAGTCAATTTTATAATTTATGACATTTGCATCGTTTTCAATTTTTACTGAGTTAATAGAGATGAGGAGAATTTTCATAAGATGAGACTAAAATTTGAATTCGCAATCTTTTTTGGCCATCGAACTGTTGCATGTGGAGTGCAACATTCTAAGAGGGTGTTTGGCTAAGCTTATAAGCTGGTCAAATTGGCTTATAAGCACTTTTTGGCTTATCTACGTGTTTGGTAAAATTAAAAGTGCTTATAAGTTAAGGGCTTATAGCCAAAATAAGCCAAAAGCCATAAGTTGGTCTACCCCAACTTATCAAATTTCAGCTTATAAGCACTTTAGGTTTGACCAAAATATTTACTATTCTATCCCTAAAATATTTCATTTTAAAACAAAACTCTTCGTATACCCAATTCTTCAGCTGCTTATTATTAATTTCAGCACTTTTATCCAAACACGTAACTGCTTATTTTTTAAATCAGCTTCAGCACTTAAAAGTGCTTTTCAGCACCTAATACTTATCAGCTACTCTAAATCAGCTAAGCCAAACGGGCTCTAATTCAATTTCTTAGAGCCAGTTTGTCCAATTTTTTGGGAGGTCAAAAGTATTTTTTTGGGCCAAAAAGTACTTCTTCCGTTTTAGTTTAAATAAGCTAATTTGTTTCGACACGGAGTTTAAGAGAAAAGAGGAAGACTTTTGAAACTTGTGGTTTTAAGGACATCTCCAACCCTTCCCCATTTCTCAATAAAGGAACCCTTTTTTTAAAATGTGGCTCCAATTCTCCCCCATTTTTGGGGGAAAGTGCACGGCTAGCCACTAATACCACATGTATTTATTTTTAAGCCACTGTTTAAAATATTTTTAGTCTTTAGCCACTGCTTTAATAAACTTTACCTGCCCAGACGAAAACACCCTTCTGCTCATAAAGTTCAGGACCAAGTGTCCTTAATTTTTGAACTTGTAACTCTAAGTTCAGAACTTCAGGACTACATGTCCTTAATTTTTGAACTTATAACTCTAATAGCCCGTTTGACCAAGCTGCAAAAATCAGCTTATTTTGAGAAGTGCTTTTTTTCAAAAGTGCTTTTCTCAAAAGTACTTTTGGTGAGAAGCAGTTTGTGTTTGGCTAATTAGTTTGAAAAGCACTTTTGAGCAGCAATTAGTGTTTGGCCAAGCTTTAAAAAACTACTTCTAAGTGTATTTTTCTCAAAAGTGCTTCTCAATAAAGTGCTTTTCGAGATAAACTACTTTTTCTGCTTCTCCAAAACTGCTTCTGCTTCTCCTCAAAAGTACTTTTTTTTCTTCCAAAAGCTTGGCCAAACACCTCAATTTTTTGCCAAAAGTGCTTTTGGCAAAAAAAAAAAAAGCACTTTTGGCCAAAAAGAAGTTTGGCCAAACAGGCTATAAGTTCAGGACTTCAGGACTACATGTCCTTAACTTTTGAACTTAAACTCGAAGTTCAGGACCACCTGTCCTTAATTTATGTGCTTGTAACTCTAAGTTAAGGACTACTTGTCCTTAACTTTTGAACTTGTAAGTCTAAGTTCAGGACTTATTGTCCTTAACTTTTGGGCTTCTTAGCCTAAGTTCAGGACCTATTGTCCTTAACTTTTGAGCTTGTAACTGTAAGTTCAAGACTTATCGTCCTTAACTTTTGAGCTTGTTAGTCTAAGTTCAGGACTTATTGTCCTTAACTTTTGGGCTTCTTAGCCTAAGTTTAGGATCTATTGTCCTTAACTTTTGAACTTGTAACTGTAAGTTCAGGACCTATTGTCCTTAACTTTTGAGCTTGTTAGTCTAAGTTCAGGACCAAGTGTCCTTAACCTTTAAACTTGTAACTCTAAGTTCAGGACCAAGTGTCCTTAACTTTTGACGCTCAGTAAAAATGCAGTACCCGCCACGTCGTCAGCTTCCTTAAATCTTTCAGTCTCTTTCATAACTCCTGTTATCTATATCTTTATTAATTAAAGCGTTAACCTAACTCTTACTATTTCTCATTTCGAATTCTGATCATTTTACTACTAGTACTATTGCGATTATCAATTTCCCGAATTAAACAATTATAGAGTAGAGAAACAAACGGAATGGAAAACGAAAAAGTAGAGAACGGAGGAGTTTACTCATCAGAAATTGTTATCGGCGGCACAGTTCTTCTCCCTAACACATGAAAGTGATAGAAGAAAGGGTAACACAGTCTTTTCATATTAATTTTAATAGACTAGTGGCAAATATTGCTAAGCATTAAAAATGCTGGATAAAAAGTAAATACCACTTTAAAAACTGGCTACCCCACACAATTTTTGCCCCCAAAATAGGGGATGAATGGTGTTACTCCAAATTTGGAGTGACACTATTCATCTCCTCCATTACTATTCATCCTCATTTTATTATTACTTTTATTATTTAACTCTTTTAATTTATCTTTTTATAAACCTAATTATGTTTATGTAATATCTTTGTAATGTTAATTTTACATCTTAACTTTGGCATATAATTTTGATAAATTAATTTTCGTGCATTTATTATTTTTATGTAAAATTATAAGTTAATTTTATTTTGAGTTATAATTGTACAAAAAACATATAATCAACTCAAAAAATGAATGATGCAAATATAAAATATTACGACAACAACAACAATAAACCCAGCGTAAAATATATAATCATCACAAAAAATGAATGGTACAAATATAAAATATTACAACAACAACAACGAACCCAGTGTATTCCCATAAATGGGGTATGCGAAGTGCAGTGTATACGCAGACCTTACCCCTACCTTAAAGATAGAGAGGCTGTTTCCGATAGACCCTCGGCTCAAGAAAAAATATAAAATATTAGATGTTGCTAATATATATAATCATCTCAAAAAGTGAATGGTGCAAATATAGAACATTACAATAACAACAACAACAACAACAACAACAAAAACGAACCCAATGTATCCCATAAATGGGGTCTGAAGATGGTAGTGTGTACGCAGACCTTTGTTAGATCTAATTTTAATGATGCAAATAATATATCTGTGCAGGAAATCAATCAGAGAAGATCAAGGAATCAAGGAGCTACTACGAGATTGCTGAAGTCAATCTGGATGCTTAAGGAGAGAAATCAATTAGCAAAGATTATAAATCAATCAGCAAAGATCATGGACAATTGCGGGGGAAAAAATCTCTACACTTAAGGCAACAATCAAGGCCAGCACATTCAATCCGGATTCTGAAAGAAGATTAGCTAAGCTGCCAATTGTGGAAGGACCAACAATCAAGGAGTAAACCCTCATCATCAACAGTTGTAGAAGGAAAGTGATCAATTGCGATCAATCTCCTCTCATCAAGGAAGAGCAACGGCTAGCAATCTTATTCTTTGAAGGAATCAATCTCTTTCCAAGGATCAAATCTCTTGGGTTGTCAAATCTCGTCAGCAAGAAGATTTCACCAAAGTATTTATACTCAGCATCTAACCTTAGACATATATACTTTGATCGAACTAAAAACCCTCTCTTTACTCTACTGCAAACAAACATTGTAGTTCTTTGAGACCTGCTGTGTAACAAGTCAGAGAAAGAGGAGAGTATATCACCGGTGAGGCATTGTATCAAAAGAGACGAGTGTTATAGGAACTGAGCTATCACGTCATTTTCATTGTACTCGAAGAAACGCATTTACTAAAGAGAACTCCCTTGCAACCCAAGAGGACTGGACTAGGATTCACATTGAATCTGAACCAGTATAAAAATTCTGGTGTCTTTAATTCCTGCACTTACTTTCTGCGTTTTATATTATGCTATTATAACTGTTATGTTATTGCATCCAGTCGACTAATTGAAAAACCAGTCAACTAATAGAGATTAAGATTAAAAATATACAATTCACCCCCCCCCCCCTTCTACTTTCAACCTTACCCCTACCTTATAAAGATAGAGGGGTTGTTGTTTCCGATAGACCGGCTCAAGAAAAATATAAAATATTAGATGTTGTTAAAATATATAATCATCTCAAAAAATGAATGGTGATTAGGAATGTCCACCTCCAACGGTAGAAAATGGTAGTAGATGAAAATCACCGATTTGAGTAATTTTTAGCTTGACACAAAATAATTAAGGACAAAGATGCTCATTTAGCACTTCGTAATGCATTAATAGATCATTTATGGGAGCATACTAGAGGCGGATGTTGAATATTTATGTAATATTTAATATGAATTCTACCATAATGTAACATATATTTAATTATCTTGTATCTCAATGATTTCACTTTTATTTGAATTATCCGTTAATATATATAATCTATAATATTTGCTTACAAATTATATTATTTAAAAATTTATGGTATAAAATAGTTTTATATTAAATTATATGTGATGAATATGTAAAAAGGAAAAAAAGATAGAATTCCTTTAATAGAAATAAAAAAATAAAATTTAAATAAATGATAATAATATAATATTAAAGAGAGAAAAGAATATAAAATAAAATATTATTTTTTGGAGTAAAAAATGGAGTAATGGTTGGAGTAACTTACTCCATTTTGGAGTTTACTCTATTTTGGAGGAGAAAATGGAGTCAAGGGTTGGAGATGGCCTAAAAGTTTAAGGGGTAAAAGCTTTGTGGGGCCATAACATTTGTGCGGTTATAAAAGTTTCTCATTAAGGGTAAAATAAAAAATTTAAAGTCGAATTATTTCCAATTGTATAAATGTGTCATTCTTTTTAGATTAGACTAATAAGAAAAGTGTGTCATCTAAATTGAAACGGAGGAGTACTTATTTGAAAATATGAGGTGTTTGACCAAACTAGAAAAATATTTTGAGCAGCAATGGAAGCATTTTTTCTGCTTTTGGGAAGAAGCTATAAATTGTAGCTTATTCCGAGAAGCAGAAGCAAAAAAATTAATTTTTTCAACATAAAAATATTCTTACCATAAAATTTTATTTTCTAAATTATACCTTATTAATTTAACCTTTACTTTATGTTTTATCTCTCACGTCTTTTTTTTTTCTTTTTTTTGTTTCTTTACCGTATTTTTATTGTTCTTATCTTATTCCTATTTGCAATAGTTTCACTACTATAAATAGATCTCTTCTTTTCTCTTCGGCCATTTCTTCTTTTCTTTATCTCCTAGTACTCTTTGAAATAACAAGGCTAATCATCAAATTCAAGAACTTTCTTCATAAAAAAAATTAATTTTTTCTAGATAAAAATATCCTTACCATAAAATTATATTTTCTAAATCATCCCTTATTAATTTAACCTTTACTTTTTTTTATTGCTCACATTTTTTTTCTCTTTTTTATCTTTACCGTATTTTTATTATTCTTCTCTTATTCCTATTTTGAATAATTTCACTACTATAAATAGATCTCTTCTTTCCTCTTCTACCGTTTATTCTTTTCTTCATCTCCTAGTACTCTTTGAAATAATGAGGCTAATCATCAAATTCAAGAACTTTCTTCATAAGGTTTGATTTCTTTTTCTCTTTTGTAGTAAACCAATATTATATAATCTCTAGTTTGTACTTTTATTATATATTTTTTGACGTGCATGCATATAATATAATTGACATAATGCAATACTACCTAGTTTGTTATTTTCTCAAGAATAGATAGCATTTCATATATGTAACTTGTAAGCACATATATTTCTATAAATATTATTGCTTTTATATACTTGTATTTTATATTGATTATAATCTTTAATATATATTATCTTATGTGTTATACTTCAATTAAATAAAAATGAAAAATTAATTAAATTCTTTTACAAATAATATTAATTTCTCTTTTTAAATAATGCTAATTGTAAGCTAAACCTTTAGTGTCCTTTATTGTAATGCGACACTCAAAAGTTTCCTGAGCCAAGGGTCTATTGAAAATAGCCTCTCTATCCTAACAAGGTAGGGATATGGTCTGCGTACACAGTATTCTTCCCATACCTCTCGGTGTGGGATATTACTGGTTATGTTGTTGTTGTTGTTGTAATGTGTTTATCAAATGCCGCAAAAAAGTATTTCTCAAACGAACTGGCCAAACATAAACTGCTAATCTCCAAAATGTACTTTCACGAAAAATACTTTTCAAAATAATTAGTTTTTGGTAGCTTGCTAAACGGGCTCTTAATATTTTCAAGATTTGTTTAAGTTAACATTCCAATGAAGGACTGCACTAATGTCAAACAACTCTTTTCCCCTTTTTCAAAAATGTTCTTAGGGATATAATTTGATTTCAACATATTTTCACAAAAAGAGTATAACCAAAATACATAGGTACTTAAAATCCCAATTGACTTTAGCGTGAAAAAATAGGGGCTAGCCAGTTTTCGGATTGATAATTGAAAAATAGCCAGCGTTCGCAAAGTTATTGAAAAATAGTCATTATTTTGCTGCAACACGGAAAGTTCCAGCATAATATACTGGAGATTGGAGCACCTACATATGAACTTCCAGCATATTATGCTAGAACTCTAGTACACGGAAAGTTCCAGCATAATATACTGGAGATTGGTGCACCTGTGTATGAACTTCCAGCATATTATGCTGTAACTCCACTACACGGAAAGTTCCAGCATAATATACTGGAGATCGGTGCACCTGTGTATGAACTTACAGCATATTATGCTGGAACTCCAGTACACGGAAAGTTCCAGCATAATATACTGGAGATTGAAGCACCTGAGTATGAATTTTCAGTATATTATACTGGAAGCATAATATTCTGGAACTCCAGTATGTTATACTGGAACTCCAGTATATTATGCTGGAAGTTTAGTATATTATATTGGAACTCCAATATATTATGCTGAAAGTTCACATGTAAAAAATTCGAACTCCGGTATATTATGCTGGAATATTTTCCAAATTTTGAATAGTGTTTTTGTTCAGATTTATCTTTACATGAAAAATGGCTAAATTTCGATTACTTTTGAAATTGTGACTATTTTTCAATTACCACTTCTAAATCTGGCTATTTTGTTTTAATTCCACCTGATTTTAGCTATATCTACCCGACCCGAGCCGACTTTACCCGTTAAAGTGTACTAACCGTTCTATTCTCTCCCGCTCAGTTGATGCAAACTGCAGAGCTCTCTTCATTTGCAATTCTGCAGGAGAAAAACCATCAAATACCGAAACTTTTCCTGAAATTCAAGAACTCTCTGCAAAAACGCACTAACCAAATTTCCAGAATTCATCGTCAAGAATGCATTTTTCTTTGCAAAAACTCTTAACAGTCACTCTGTTTCTCATCTTAACCATCAATTCACCTTCCCTTTCATCTCCTTTCTTCCCTCTTAACAATGTAACTCTTTACGGTGACGCTTCTTTCACCACCAACTCCATTTATCTCACTCAACAACGCAACTGTTCATCAAATTCACCTTCCATTTCTGCCATTGGTAGAGCTTTTTATGTTTACCCAATTCGTTTTCTTGATTCTTTAACAAATAACACTGCTTCTTTCTTATGCACTTTCTCTTTTACTATTCTCCCTACTACCCCTTCTTGCCCTTTTGGTGATGGCTTTGCCTTTTTGATCACTTCTGATGTTGATTCTTTGACCAACTCTAATGGTTACATGGGTCTTCCAAAGCAAGATTCTGACATGGGAGATTCATTCTTGGCCGTGGAATTTGATACAAACGATAATCATATTGGTATTGGTGTTAAAGAAGTTAAGTTTTTGGCTTCTGCTGATGTTGATTTGAAAAGTGGGAAAGAATTGACGGCTTGGATTGAGTATAAAGATTCTGAAAAAATGATGAGAGTTTGGATTGGTTATGAAATGCAAATTAGGCCTTTTAATCCTGTTCTCGCTACTAAAATTGACATTTCCAATCAGTTGAAGGAGTTTATGAGAATTGGTTTCACTGCAAAAGGCTCTGCAGTTTACAGCATTTATCGTTGGCGATTCAGAACGTTCGGATTGCTTTCGTCTCAAACGTCTTGGGATCATCAATCCGATGAAGGAGATTGCTTGATGTGTTTTCCTGAGGAAATTGGTGAGCATTTTTCTGCCCCACATCATAGTAAAAGTTTACTGAAATTGATTTTTGTATATGGTGGCTTAGCTGCAGTTGTTACACTTGTTGTTGGTATTCTGGCTATTGTGTCTGTTTTTGTGTTAAGGAGAAAAAAAAGGGATGGTAGTAGAGGGGAAAATGAAGGCCAAGTGTGTAGATTACAAGGAAATAGAGTGCCTCAAAGATTGTCATTATCTGAAATAAAATCAGCCACAGAAGGATTTAATAATGAAAGGATAATTGGTGAAGGAGGATCTGCTGTTGTATATGAAGGAGATATTCCTTCTAAAGGAGTTGTTGCTATTAAGAGATTTGTTCAAGGGACTAGATTAGGTCCTTCACATATTCCATTTAATACTGAATTTGCTTCTATGGTTGGCTGCTTAAGACACAAGAATTTGATTCAGCTCCAAGGATGGTGTTGTGAGAGGAATGAGTTGGTTTTAGTTTATGAATTCATGCCTAATGGTAGCCTTAACAAAATCCTACACGAACACTCGCATTTTGCTAAGTTTCTGACGTGGGAGCGAAGGCTGAATATAGTTCTTGGCGTCGCGTCTGCTCTGGTGTATTTGCATGAAGAATGTGAGAATCAGATAATTCATAGAGATGTGAAGACTTGTAATATAATGCTTGATGCTGAGTTCAATGCTAAGCTTGGGGATTTCGGTTTAGCTGAAGTGTTTGATAATTCTAGGACAAGGGATGCTACTGTACCAGCTGGAACAATGGGATATTTAGCTCCTGAATACGTCTTTTCTGGCGTTCCAACTGTTAAAACGGATGTGTATAGCTTTGGTGTTGTGGTACTAGAAGTAGCATCGGGGAGAAAGCCTATCGATGAATGTGGGGGTTTGATTACTGATTGGGTGTGGGATTTGTGGGAAAAGGGGAGGATAACTGAGGCTGCTGATCCGAAACTGAAGGGACGATTTCAGAAGAACGAGATGGATAGGGTGCTCGTCGTGGGACTTTCTTGTGTGCACCCTAATCAGGAGAAGAGGCCGAGAATGAGGGAAGTTGCCCGTATGCTTAAAGATGAAGCTCCACTGCCCATCTTACCTCCAAAGAAACCAACTGTGAGAATTCAATCTGTTTTACCAGAGGGATGTGAAGAAATCATGAATTGTGCTGGAAAAATGGAGGATAGCCCATGGGCAACTCCAACAACTCATTTTAGCAGGAACTAGTTTTCTGAATACTTGCTACATTGAATTACAATAGTTGAATTGTACTTATCTTTGCAACAAGTAGTGCAGATATTATTAGTTGAAATTTTGCTTTGTTGAGACTCTAGGACTTTCAAAAGTCAATAATTACTTTGAGCTTGTGCCAAATAGTGTGTGATAGACAATGCTTCAAGTATATTTTTGCTGTTATCATTATGCTGTACACTTGTTTTCTGCTAAACATGGAAGATTCTTTTTTGAAGGGAGAACAATGGGCATTTTAACCAAATAATTGATTCATTTACAACTTTTTGTAAGGTAAAAAGAAGATAGTCATATGCAATTAAGCTACTAACGAAATACTAATTCTTAAGGTTTCACTTAAACCATATGTAGCTATTCAGTTATTTCCATTGGATTTGGGCAAGTTCATAATGATTTTGACTTTGAAATGGACTCCTAGGGTGTGTTTGGTACGAATGAAAATGTTTTCCATGGAAAATGTTATCTTAGAAAATGTATGAGTGGGTTTATCACTTATTTTCCCTTGTTTGGTTGTTGAGTGAAAACTTTTTTCCGGAAAATATTTTCTAGTTTTGGTAGAGTACAAAATATTTTTTAGGAAAATAATTTTTTATGCTACTCTCCTCACCCACCCACCTCCCCCCTTTCCCCAAGTCCCTATTTTTTATGTGCTCTTCACCCTCCCCCCCTCCCCCCCCCCCTTCCCCTTAAATACGCAACATTTTCATGACCCTATTTTCTTCAAGAATTTAATTATTCTTCTAAAAATTCATACAAACCTAAAGGAACTAATGTGTTGCTTTAATTTGTTACGTAAAAGCTACGTTGAAATTTGTGCTCCGTAACTAAAAAAGATACTTTTCCACATCATGAAAAGAAAATACTCTTTTCGTTGAAATAAAAGAAATACTTTTTACTACATTATTTTGTTGAAATGAAAGAAAATACTTTTTACTACATCATTTTATTGAAATGAAAGAAAATATTTATTCTACATCATGAAAAGAAAGTACTTTTTTGTTAAAATGAAAAGAAAAAAAAAATTGTATCGCGAAAAGAAAATACTCATTTGTTGAAATTAATAAAAATACTCTATCTATAACATGAAAAGAAAGTACTATTAATAATATTTCTATTTAGGGCGGGGGTGGGGGTGGAGCGAGGGTGGGGTGGGTGGGATTGGGGTGGGTGGAGTTGAGGTGTGGGTGGGGGTGGGTTGGTGGGGATGGGGAATGCGAGGAAGGTTGGAAAAGAGTTTTGGAAAATGTTTTCCCTTCTCTTGATAGGGAAAACATTTTCCTCAAATTAGAGGAAAATGAGCTGATGAGGAAAATATTTTCCAAAATATTTAAGTCAACAAAGCATGAGAAAATTGAAAAACATTTTCCAAAAAATATTTTCCTTCGTACCAAACACACCCCTAATTACAAATATTTTTACACATGCGAAAAATGATTTATGTTGAACCATTTATAGTGATAGATTTAAATTAATAGTTCACCTATATATAAAGTGAGAGAAAATGTCTTTTTCTTTGAGATGATTTTAGTTTCAAATAAAAATGACATTCTTGACATGTATTTTTTCAATTTTAAATCAGTGTATACTCAGTTATAGTGAGATAGTGAACTAATAAATTCAAGGGAAATTAACAGCTATGTCCATTTATAAGTAGCTCATTACAAAATGGTCAATTCATAAAATATTACTAATATTAGCCAATTAGTTATATGTAACAAAAAAAAAAATGATAAATTTTTGCTTTCTTTTGAGTGAGTGTTATTAGAATACATTGGAAACATCTTAAGGAGCTTGAATCTCAGTTTTGGGATGAGTTGGTGAAGTTTTGAGGTGGTTTGAATTAAAAATTCGAAGTAAAAACTGAACATGAAAAAATGATGTGTATCATATGTGTATCATTTGTGTATCACATACGTATCATATTTGTATCAATTATGTATCACATGTATATCCATGTATACTCGTGTGTGAGATACATGCGTGATACATGTTTGATACATGTGTCGCAGAAGAATTTTTTGAACTCGATTTAATTACGAATTTTGATACAAAACCAGTCCAAATCACCTCTAATCTTCCTCAAATGTTGTGTATTGACTTATCTATATGTTTTCAATGAATTTCAACAATGCCCATTGAAAAATTCCTTTTTTGCTTAGATTTTTAGAATATTGCATTTTTTTTGTATTTCATCACCTTATTTGCTACCTCATCCATGAAGTTTCTTTTTCGTCTTTCATCTAATGTTGCTAATCATACTTAAAAATATGGAAAGTGATTTTTGCATGTGCTTCTTTGAGAGAAAGAACCTTATTTTATTTGGTTTTTCAATTTTTATATGTGCTTGACTAGTTTTGGTAAGTGTACGACTAATGGCTAGAGGTTGGTAAGTTGAGACTTATTTGAGACATTTGTGTAAGTTTCCCTAAATTCAACTATATATACCAGACATGACAAAAAAAGGTTTAATTTCAGTATACTTATATACTTACTAAAGAAACTTTAGGTTGACATACACTTGATATTCCTGAGGTTGAAAATAATAAAAAACACAACACCTTTATTTTGGTTTAATTTTAATTTAAAGATCTACAAACAAAAATTCATAGCTTAAAAAACTTGATTTTTACATGATCCTCTCCTCCTATTTTCCATTACCTTTGAGCTATCCCCTTGAAACCAAAAAAAAAAAAAAAAAAACAAGTCAAGAAAGGAAGAGTACTTTATTTGTTTGAAAAAGAAAGAGAAAGAGCAAAGGAAAAAAAGGAAAAAAAAAAAAAAAAAGACCCTCCCCCCGAGGGGTGGGGGGTGGGGGGGAGTGGGGAGGCATCATCGCCACTACAGGTGTAATTGGGAAATTTGGTGTATAATATATGTCTACCGATTACTGAAACCCATTTTCCCCTTTTTATTTTATGCAAATGATTTTGGAAACCCTATAACCCCCAAAACTTCTCTAAACTCACCCATTTCCCCAGCTCATCATCAGTTGGACAACTTCTTTCTTAACTCTGCTGAATCAGGTGAAAATTTTGTCTTCTTTTTAATATACTACTTGTAAATAATAATACTTGTATTTCTCAAGTTTATGTTTTTTCTTATTCCTAAAACTATCCTGATCAATTTCCTCTTTTTTATGGTACTATAATTATGCAATGCACAGAGGAAGAAGAAAATAGAAGTAAATGGGTTTCATGACTTAGATTTTGGAAAAGGAAAACAAGAGACAAAATATCATAGATTGGTAATCTTCTACTTTCATCCGCAAGAGTATACTTGATATGCTATTTTGGGCCTTTTTTGTTATAACTAAAGAAAATGTTTAGTCTTTTTCTTTTGCTTAAGTTTTGAGGCTTAAAACATCACCTATGTTGTATTTTTTTTTTGTTGCAGAAAACATCTTTTAATCTAAATAAAGCCGACATGTTTAGAGAGGAAAGATGACAGTATAACATAGTTTTTATGATACTTTATACAAAAAAAAACATTGTTTTCTATGGTAGCTGAGATTAACTCTCTTGCCTTGGGTTTAGTAAAGTAGTTGATCAACTTATGCATATTAACAATCACAGACGGGATTAAAGAGGAAAAGATGAGGATGTGGAGATTGTATTATGGTTGACCTTTTCTCTTATGGTGTTAAGTATAGATGGTTGACATCTGATGAAAGCTTGTTGAAGTGAAAAAAGACAATCTTTACAGATCGAAAGAAAGAAAGTTTGCTTGGTAAAGATTAGTGCTCTCAGCTCACAATTGTGACATGGCTGCAAAACCTATTGCTGATACCATATGGCGGTACACTGCAAACCCTACTACTTTATCATTATTTTTCCATCCTACCTCTCACCTCTTTTGGAGGAGGCTGCAACTAGTTCTCATTAAGTTCTATGTATAAAATCTGGTTATTCTCATTTCACAGGGGTAGTTTCATGATCTCCCATCCGAAAGTGAGTTTGAATCTTACGGCCCATCTATCAAGTAAAGCATGCGCAAAAGTGTGGCTGGAAGCTAAAGAGATGGCGGAGGTTCTGTGTTTTGAATTGCTTCCCAGGCTGGATGTCTGGCCTAAGAGTTTTAAAAGTTCTAAACTGATTGATGATAATATTGCCATTTATTTCTTTTCAGTTAAAGGCAGGTGCGGTAACCAACCTAGCCTATATCTCTGCTTCACCTGTTATACCACCTCTAATCTTGGTATGATTTTGTGTTTCAGAGATGATCAGGTTTTCGACAATCTGCTGTACAATTTAAGACACTACGACTTTGCTTTAAAAGCCTTGGTTGGTGATTCTGAACTCCTTATTTTTACCTCTGCTCAACTGCCAGAAAAGCATCAAAGTAATTGTTACCATCCCAAACTATTGAATGCCTACAAGCTCTTTACATGTTTCAACTAACCACACTAAATTTGCAGGATTTGAGGGTCAATTATATCTATGGGGCATTTTCAATGGAAGACAAGCTCCTCCTCAACACTCATCCGATGATTGTTTCATTTATAATACCCGAGTGACACAAGCTTCAACCCCAAAGTTAGCTAATGATGTTGTCATTGGGAAGGATGGAAGTTGCAATGAATTCTCCAATAAGAAAGACCCTTGTAAGTCTTTGAGTAACTAAACTTGTTGGTTGCTTGTGCTCACCCATGCATGATAATACATATCACCTTCATCAACATATTTAGATAATGTGGATTTCAGCTATATTTATTTGCTCTGTGTACATTTACTTGAAAGGAAAATATTTTTGAAGATGCTAGCGGTTAAACCAGTGTTTTGGAAAGCGTTAAGTGCAAAAACGTGACAAGGCCTCGCTTCACCGAAGCGAGAAGCGCGAAGCGAAGCGCGCGCTTTTTTCATGTGAAGCGCAATTTAACACATAAATAAAAAAAAAATAGGCATAGATAAATGGCTAAGAACTCATTAAAAATAACATATAAGCAAAAAAAAAAAAAAACATAACAGTTAATTCACACGAACCAGAAAACAGAGCATAAAACAGATGATAAAGCAGAAAACAGAGCACAAAGTAGAACAGAAGAAGAAGTTGTTTAGGGCACAAAATCAGCGCTTAAAAAGTGAAAAAAATTGAAAGAAGAAGAGAAGAAGAAGAACAGAAGAAGTCGTCGAAGAAACTTACCGAGAACTGGAGACTTCGTCGTCGCTGGAGTTCGCTGGAGAAGAAGTCGTTGAAGAGCGTATGTTTATTTGTTAACAGATGGCTTATTTGCCAAAATTTTTAAAAAAACCCTAGCAGAAGCCTTCTGCTCGCTTAAGCACAATTTTTTATCGCTTTTTCATCGAGGCGCTTCTCGCTTAAGCGAGAAAATCATGCGCTTTTTAAATGTGAGTTGCTTTTGTAGCAGAAAAGCGCTAGCCCTACGCTTCGCATCGCTTCAGCGCTTAAAGCGAGAAGCGAGCGCTTTTAATAACACTGGGTTAAATTGAAGTTTAAAGATACATATTACTATGGGACATGTTGCGCACTATTGTTCAGAAAGATGTTTTAATTCATTTTATTACCTTTTTAAAAAAAATTCTTTTCTGATTTGATCTTTTCAGTTATCATTGCATAACTGATCACCTCATCCTCTGAAGTTATGGTCATTTTATAGTTTGAAAAATTAGGGCCATCTGGAGGTGACGTGTAGTTCTTGTCCTTCACAATGAAATATGCTTGCAATTGTGATTCATCAGATATTTGTTAGTGTTTCCTGTTGAACTTATCCGCATTAAGATCTCAATCTTCTGAATTTGACATTCCCCTTTCCCTACACTGAAATCTAGTTTTTAGAAAGTGCGAAGTAGTAAAACATGTGAAAAGAAAACATGTAGTAATAAAAAGCTAGTAGAAATTGATAGACGATGGAAAAGCAGAACTGAAGATCTAAATGGTTGTAAGCTTCTATGTGAGAAAATATCAAATAGGACTTTTGAAGGACAATGGAGCATGCAAGAGATCATTTAGTCACGACGAGAGCTCACTAATCACTCAATACATTTGTAACATAGCTAATTGAAAATGACATTTCATCGATGTGATTTAGTTCACTAGAAATCAGGAATTTGCTGCAGCGCTCCGGTGTTTAAGTTAGATCTTGCTAGTCCGTTTCCCTCTTTCTAAAAGGAAGAAGAGCAGTTAGAAGTAAACAAATACGGTGTTCGTGGCCAGCAATGTACTAAATACCTAGTTTGACCAACCGTTCTGCTGCCACAGTTTTCTACTCCCACTAATAGTTCAGCACATTCGTTGTTGCTATTGGGTGTGGGGCCAGAATCTCACAACAAGAAAGCTTCCTGTCAATCCAAAATGTTAGAAAGAAAATTAGATCATGGAGGACTAATGGTAATGTTTCAGAAAGATGTGGCCTAAAAAATGCCCCGACTTTCTTGTCATTTTCCATTTCTATATGAATCTACAGTACTTCATTGATTGTCCATGTGAAGTTGAAAGAGATCTCCATGAAACAGTATTGACATTCTTGTCCTTTTCTTATTGTTGTGTTTCTTTCTGACTCTATCTCGGAGGGGAATAGAAAAGTTTGTTTTAGGCATAGTGTTGAATGTGTGCCTTATAAGCCTTGTGTTTTACTTTTGATTGTTTAGTCTATACCAACCTTTTCTCCTCGTAAAAGATTACTAACCCTTTAAATTGCATCGGCACCCTGTCATAAAGGTTGGTCTCCTCCTACTTGAGGGAATTGAATATCCATGTTCAAAGTCAAAAGTTCCTTTTTATTTGATTTGTATCCATGTGTAGGCGTGTAGCATGAATACCCCCGTCTGCATGGATAGTGGTTATGAAAATTTTATAAATTTTGGGATTTTTAGGGCTTTGTATATTACATGATTATTGTATATTAACACCTTCGATGCAACATCGATAAGATTACTTTTGAACAATTTTTTTAAAAGACAGAAAATTCAAGAATTTGGGTTACTTACCAATTTGTTATTGTTTGTTTTAAACTTTTGTAGCGCTTCCATCATGCTCACTAGTTTCTCTGCTTTTGTAACTTGCTTTTAGCACTTATTCAGTTCTAGGTGGACCTCTGTTTTTTATTCCATTTTATTCTTTGTCTTAAATATCCTCCTCCCCAAATCTGTGAAGTGAAGATCTTTTACTTTGGACATCCTCCTCTTCCTTCTTTAAATAAGCAGCACCTACCTCAAAAACAGCTAGAAAGGGAAGGCCACTTGATGATGCTTGGCAACATGCTACTCCAGTAGATGGAAAGAAACAGAGGACAATTTGCAAGTATTGTGGATTTGTCTCTTCCTCTGGAGGCATTACTTATCTTAAGACGCATCTGGGTGGGGGTGATCCAACGGGTTCGTTAAAGGGTTGTCCAAATGTGCCACCTGAAGTCAAAAGGGTGATGACAGAATGGTTACAAGGAACTATAAGAGGGGTGAAGGCACCACAGCTAGAGGATATCAGGACTGACATGGAAGGTATGTTTCTGAAAATGTGGATGATTTTAAATATCCTCTAATGTGGAAGATTGTAACATCTTGACAGGAGTCTTTTGCTCCACAGAAAGATAATTTATTTCTATCGTTATGAGAGAAACTGAAATGTTTTCACTTTTCATGATGACCTTTTCTTTCCTGTTACTTAGCTTAAAATCTGTATGACTCAGAACTCTATTTTTTTGTTTGGGCCAGACCACATTGTGTCTATTGTACACAGCCTTATTTTGTATTTATGCAAGAGGCTGTTTCCAGGGTTCAACCTGTGACCTCCTTTTGTGTATCAATCTAAAAGTAATTCATTGTCCTTGTAAAAGTTGAAAAGGATTATCCCATGAAAATGGATATGTGCTCTCACTCTTTCTCTGGGCCTGTTTATTAGTTCAGTTTGCTGTTTGATTTGTCTATCCAATTACTTAATTTTAATTAAATATATTCCCTATCCCTATTCCTGTTTTCCTGTCTCTCTGGTATCTCAGAGGGGGAAGCCGGGTTGGGTTTACACAGCTGTACATCTGTGATTTTTGCTCACGATCTTTTGACCACCTTTAATTGCACTGCATATGGGAAGTGGCATTCTTTCCTGCAACTAGTATCTTCGTATTGCTGAAATTTTGTGTTACGGGAACAATTTGCTATGGCTGTGTTTCTTTATCTTAGAAGAGCTTCCATCACAGATAATTATTAATTTCCCCTTTACTATAACAAGTTTCTGTTAATGTTACTTTGTTAGGAAGGCTAACTGTTTGCTCTTTTTCTTCCTTCAATTTTTTAAATACCCCCACCGTCAATTAAGATTTATTTCTGAATGCTGTTGTTTGTACATTCTCCTCTTGCTCCTTTAAATTAGCAGCACATACCTCAAAAAAATCTGTTAGAAGGGGAAGGCCACTTGATGCTGCCTGGGAACATGCTACACCAGTTGATGCAAAAAGGCAGAGGGCTGTTTGCAAGTATTGCGGTTTCATATCTTCTTCCGGAGGAATTACACATCTTAAGGCGCATTTGGCTGGAGGTGATCCAAAAGGGCCCTCAAAAGGTTGTCCCAATGCGCCGCCAGAAGTCAGAAGGGTAATGGCAGAGTCTCTGAACAGAACAGTGAAAGGGGTGAAGGCCATGCAGCCAGAGGAGATCAGGAGATACATGAAAGGTATGTTTCTAAGGATATAACAAATCCGAAACTTGCTTTGATGAGGAAGTATGCAAGATCTCCACCAAGTTTTTAGAAAGCTATAATACATCTTTTGCTCTCCAAGAAAAGAATTGTATTGGAAAACTTTAGAATTACTTAACCCCTTGGTTTACATAGAACAGGAGGTAGCTAATGCAATTAGATAGTACTAAAGTACTTATCACCAGAAAAAGAAAAATAGAATTTGCTACAATAAGTGGACAGGTTAACTCACCATTTTTAGCTAAGCAATTTGCACCTTTTCTTGCTGTACACATTTCTACTTTTTCTATCTGTATAAAGTAACTATATTTTCCCAAATGTTTCAGCGGAAAATGATTGGTCTCCTCCCAAGTCAGATGACTATTCGTTGAATCAACATAGAATTGTCAAGAATGAGCAGTACTCAAATTTAGCTAGTGGGGGAAATCCTGTAAAGGATATGACCATGTCAAAGCAATCAGAGACAGCATGTGTTGATAGTTGTATGGAGGTTATAAGTTCTCATAATGCTTGTAAGTCGAGCTTTTTAAGCAAACCTACAACTAGAGTAGGTTTTCTTTAACATAATGCATCTGTAGATTGAGTACTAAGAGCTAGGAAGGATGACTGCTTAATCTAACCTGAGAGCATGCTCCGTCAATTTATGACATGACGAAACATACACGAGTACAGATGATGAAGTTGATTCTGCTGATTTATCAGCAAAAAAGTTGGTTCTTTTGATGTACAAATCTGTTATGAATCATATCTTAACCCAATACTTGGCAACTTTGTGACATTGCTAGTGATTGTATCTATGAATTTGTTGCTATGCTCCGTCCATCTTGGAGTGATTTTGAAAGATCTATTAAGCAGGTTGAGTAAGTCCTCCCTAGCAAGGGACACCATTTGAAAGTTCTGAAGTCTGCTCATTGCTGAGAATGCGAAACTGAAATGGCTTCATTAGCATCATGCGACCCTTACGGAGACTAAATCAGCAATGCTTTAGCCGATGTTACCAAAGTGTTGCGAGGGTAAGAAATATAATCCGAGTAAAGATGTGAAGGATGCTTCAATGTGAGATTGAGACCTTGGAAGTTGAATTGAATTTGACGTTAGCATACACTCGAGTACTGACCAACATCAAGGACAAACTTGTGTTAATATGCAAATGCTCCTGCAAATCAGTTGCCGGTAGACTCTGTAGATTTTCTGTGTATATGTTTCTGTATTTTTTGAGCTGCTTTGAGATCACTAGAACTTTTTTCATATAGTTTAAAAATATTGCCCTTCGTGCAAGTTCGTCTATTGGAACCTGCGAGCCAGTGTTTCATTTTGGTCAGGAGTCTTTGTTACTACTCTCTACGACAACAAGAACAACAAACCCCTGGGAGACGTAACATTCTCTAACCTTGTCTATTTGGAAAGCACATCGCCTATGTACACTTCATTAAGTTTCCTGTTCTTAATTGCAAACCAGATAATACATAGGATATATTGCTATTTTGATGTTTCCAGACGTTGATTCGTGGAAAAATGAGCTCTGACATCAACAGTTGGAAGTTTGCAAGTAAGCTGTCGCTATCAACAAGACAATCAATTTTTATGGTGCAGTAATCAATGTCAATGTTCCTCAAAATTCCCATTGTAAAAACAGCTATATTGCCCTTTTAAATATAGTGTCCTTTTAAAAGATTATATATATATATATATATATATATATATAACGCTCTTTATTATGCTATATAGTGTCTTAATAAAGGGTGTTATGCTTAAATAAGTTGTCTTCCCTTTCCTTTCCAGAACAGAACACTCGATTCCCCCCCCCTCCCCCCCCAACCCCCCTCCCCCCCAATTGTTGACGAAAAAAGCTCAAGTGAAGCCTACCGGTCCCATAAAAAGTATAGATTCTCGGTCCCATGTCCTAGCTAAGGCGTTATCTTGGAGTGGGTTGCTCGTTTCGGCTCAAATCACAACATCTTCAACTTTCAAAAAACTTAAAATCGAGGTATACCGACTTGGTGGAATACATACGGAGACACTTAAAGTTGGCACGATTTTTTATTTAGACAACTAAACTCAAGGGTGTTCCTATTGAGCACTTATACTATCCGAAACTTATTCCAATTAAGCACTTCTTGCTGAGTTGGCACATAAAGTGAGTTTCACCCAATACAGGCGCGTGAAGAGCCCGAAAAAAACAGATTTTTTTCTTTTTTTTTCTTTTTTATTTCCTTCTTCTTCTCCCTCCCGTAACAAAGCTCATCCCCTTTCAAATTTCAATGAGTCTCAACTTGCTTTCCAATAAATTTATTGTTCCAAATCAAACACCAAACTCCTTGAAGACAAGGAAAAATTGAAGAAAATAACGCTTGATTTGAAGTGGATTGTGTTGATTTTTAAAACTTAATTGGGTTAATTGGCATCTTTTAGATCTGTTGCACTTAGTTTTGGACTTAATTAGAAATAGTCTACATTTTCGCTTTTGAGTTCTTGCCATTTGAGTTCTTGCCAGATGGAGCAGACATTGATGAAATTTTTGGTGAGAGTGGAGTGAGGACGAAGCAAGGGTGGTTCGTGGTGGCGGGCAGTCCCCATCTCTTCATTGCCGAAATCCGGCGGCCTTATCCTCTTCAAAAAACCAACGATCCCCGTCTTCTTCTTCAACAATAAGAAACCAGCTGTACCTCATCTCCTCATCTTCAACCGCCGCCGCAACGAACCAGGCTGCTCTAAGAGATTTCCGGCCACCACGTTGCCGCTAGACTTCTGCATTTTTTTAAAAGAGGAGGACCTAAAGCACTCTAGTTTGGATTCGATTGTTATAGATTAGGTTATATTTTAAAGAAATTGCAGAATTCAAGTATAAAAACACTATTGTCATACACCTTTCCTGCAATTTGTTTGTAATTTCTAGTTACCCAACTTCAAAAAAGTAGAATTTCAGCATTTGTCGTCCACTAAAGAGAAAACGAAGAAGCATTAATTTCTCTCTTTGTTAATGGGTATCCTCTTTAAGTTAGGTGTGTAAATTTGCGTGTTCGTTTCTATTTGAGGATATGCTTGATTTTGGTGATTCAAAAGATTGCAGGGTGAAGAACACACATGAACATATAGTGAAGATGCTGAGTTAAGTAGTATTTTTAGGTTTTTTTCTTTTTTTTACTCAAAATAATATATGTCCTTTTTTTTATTCTCCATTCTCCACGTCAGCAGCGAGTGCATTGCACAAACTTTATAAGTTTGGCTGATTGTCAAAGAAGTGTTTAATTGGAATAAGTTTTCGGTAGTATAAGTGCTCTATAGAAACACCCTTGAGTTTAGGTGTCTAAATGAATAATCGTGCCAACTTTAAGTGTCTGTGTATGTATTTAGCCTTCTGACTTAGTTTTCGTTAAGACTCGTATAAAAATTGCATATTAGTTGTTTTTAATGTGCTATATGTTATTTTATGATTGTTTTGCGTTTTAACTAATTTTTTATTTTTTATCCGGGATATAGTATTGGTGTGCTAAAAAAAGTAATAAAATAGAGAAATTTTTATTAGTTGTTAAAAAAAAATTAATTAGTTACTTTTTACTGTGGTATACGTATTTTCGTAATTTTTTTGTGATTAAATTGATTTGTTGTTTTTATCTGATTCAGATTATTTATTTGCTAAAAGACTAGTAAACTAGATAACTTGTTACTTTAGTTCCCTGTAGTGGTATCTTGTGGCCTAATGTAGTGCTCGTATTTGTAATGTAGTGCCCTTTTAGCGTAGTAAAACGTACTACCCTTTAGCGTATCCTTGTAGTTATAGAAATTAATCATTCAAGTATCTCTTATACCCAAAAATACGTCAAAAAGCTGATAGTTCAAACACAAACTATCTCCAATTCTAGTCAACAAACGTAAGTAAATAAGTTTAGATCAAGCCAAACTCTTTCAGCCGGAACTTGTTCGGCTAAAATTGCTCCAAAATAACCACTCGATGATTGAGGGATATCCCTACTTTGCGCAACCTCATTATTGCTAACGTCTTCAGCCTTGACGTATATTTCCAATAGCTTTGTCACAATAAATTCCCGGTAATCATCCGTAGTCCTCAAAAAATCTCTCAGAGTTTCTTCGTCTTCGATGTTAAACTCAGCATAACAAGCAACCCCTTACGGAGTCTCAGAATACGGATATCTTTTGGTTACTTTACTATTCACCGAACGTTTGCTCGCACTCATTTTTTTACATAACAACGATACCAATGTATCGTACTCCATTATAAGTGGCAACTTAACATGACACTGTGGAGATAAACTATAGCTTACTGAGTTATTCGCCACCACAATCTCACCCCCCCCCCCCCATATAATGTAACTCTAATTCTTCGCTCTTCAGACATTATGACAAAATGCAAAATAACTAAATGAAGAAATATTTTAGAAGACTTTAAAATGTTTATGAATGGATTTCTAAAAATCCTTCACCTCTTTAAATAAGGCAAAAACCAGTCCGGAGGTTCAATTTTTTGAGGTATAGCGTCTTAGCTTAAGGTGCTATACCCAGTTGAATTATTATTATGTTAGTTAAGCCCAGAAAAATTATTTGTGGGCCAAAATAATATATATAGCGTCTTAATAAAGAACGTTATATGTATAGCGTCTTTTAAAAGGACGCTATATTTAACTGGGCAAACGGCCGTTAAAGTATAGCGTCTTCTTAAAAGACGTTATATATAAATTGATTACCATATTTTTTTTCTACACATTTTGATTCTTTGAGTCGAAAAGAACCACATTTTGGTTCCAGACTCTTCATTCATTGGTATTTCTTTCCCTTTTGTTTTAGCTTGGTGTAACGTTTCGCCGTCTGTTTAGAGTAGAGATTCTGTTTTTATCAAGGCAGTAACAAGAGATGGAATACAATCATATGTATCTTGATTAAAAGAATTTATTACAGTCTTATTCACTAACGGTACAGGTTTAAAAGAATATGACATTACCTCTCTTCTATGTACCAACCTTAAAAGATAAAAATAAAATAAGCAATTTTTAACTCCTATAGCAAAGGTTAACACCTTATTTATTTTAAATAAATACCATTTAAAAAAATTATATTCTATTAATACCTTTTAATGTTTATAGCAAAATATCTAATTTTGGTTACCTCCTACCCCTAAGCCACTAAATACGCTATTTAGTTACACTATTTTCTTTCTCTCTCCACTTTGATACATGTCATTCTCTTCCCCCATTCCCTGAAAACACGATGCTACGAGAAACCCTAGCTCTTCCTTGGTGGTAAGACCTAGTTGTGTTCCTGGAATTAGAGAATCGTTTGATGGAAGTTGCAGTAGTCCTATGGTGAGCAGCAGATGTGTGGCTCCGTGGTTGATGCTACCGTCGGAGTTTGAGGAGGAAAGCACCCTACAGACTGGCCGAAGGGGATGTCATACTCATACGGGTACAGGCTGATGAGCACCAAGTGATGATCCCTGGTGTCGATTCCGTTTGTGTGGGATCATTATCCAAGTGATGGATTGCTTGCATACAGCCTAAAGATTGTTATCTCTTCCTCTATCACACACGTCTGGGAAAATTATCCAGCTTCCATCCATTGAAACCTTTCCCTGTGTTAACGGCGTTATCCGTAACTTTTCAATCAAATTAAAAGCCCTGGTATTCAATTAATCGCGATGAAGAAGAAGATTTCAATGTATTTTCAACGTATCACGCTGTATTTTCATGTATTTCATTGTATTCATTGTCTTTTTTTTTCTAATTCAATATATCTCGTTGTATTCCATGTATTTCATTGTATTCACTGTCTTTTTTCATTGTATTTCAATGTATCCCGCTGTATTCTATGTATTTCATTATATTCACTGTCTCGCTATATGCCATGAATGTATTCATATGTTTTTTCTAATTAAATAATTTATGTATTCAGATGTATTATATAATTTCTCTGGAGATTGCTATGTTTTTGGGATATTTTTCGGTTGAGAATTTTTTTTATAACTGGAAATACAAAATTTGTGTGTTATAATTGAATTTTTTGAGTTATATTAGGAGTCTATTATGTTAATTGATTCACTTTCCGTTTAAAAACAGTGTAATCCCCTGTTTCACGCCGTGAATACAGTCAAATACCGTCGAATACAATGATCTGTCCAACTGTAATCCCATGTTTCACGCTATGAATACAGTCGAATACACTCGAATACAACAACTGATTAACTGGACTTCCCTGATTCACGCCTATTTTTGCCACTGTATTCATGAATACAGTAGCTTAAATACATCTTATAACAACAGAAAACGTATCTACAATCTGTAATATAGCAAATGGTATCTATAGATAGCTAATTACCACTAAAAGATACTGCTTTATGAAAATTTCTCTAAAATAATAGTTAGGCCATTATACTCAAACTAAATCTCAAGTCATGTTCTAGTTAGGCCCGTTTTCTTTTGTT